AAAAAAAAAAAAAAAAAAACCCTAAGGAAATGGCAACATGTATCTGACAAAAGACAGTCTTTAGAATATTCAAAGAAACTTCACAATTTAAAAATGAGTAAACAATAACAATGAACAGAACGTGGCACCTATCTGAACATGTGCTCAGTAACACAGAAAGAGCTGTGCAAGGTGCACACCATTGCCAGTCATGAAAAAGAGGCAAACAATAACTGGGGTGAGCTCCCAGCACACAAATTCAAATGGCTAACACAGAAAAGACTGCTAATAACACACGTTGGCAAGAACATGGAGAAACCGAAACTCAGACAAGCTACTGAGAGGGATATAAAACAGCTTGGAAAAGTGGCTTGGCAATTCGTTATGGAAACTTGGGGCTCAGCAAGCCCAGTTATAAGCATTTTCCCAGGAAAATGGAAAGTGTATAACCTATGGAAAACCAAAAAGAGGTATTAGGACAAAGCAGTCACAACTCGCTGGGGAGGGGACCAGTAGTGGGGGAGGGGGCTGTGACAACAAAGGATCATGAGGGATGACAGCAAATAGGAGCAAAGAACAGGGAACACGCGGATGGTACATTGTTTGGTACCATTAAATATGGCAGTATGTTTGCTCCGAGTAGCAGAAAACAACCACAAAAATTGAATTAGCGAGTTCTTAAAAAATTTACCACAAATACAGAAGTCAGAAATCCTACATACACAGTCAGCTCCAATTCTTCACAGCAATGGAGGAGGAGAAAACATTTCCAACTCATCCCACAAAGCCAGTGATGTCCTGACATCTTACAAAGATCAAATTGTTTTATTGAGATAAAACTCGGCATAAAAGTGCTAGCCATCTAGCTCAGTATCCAAGTGGGCACCCTAGTAAGGAGAACAGGGACTATTGCTGACATAAACTCAATGGCGGGCTCTTTGTTGACCTCCTCCCCTCCCCCCAGGGAGGAGCAGCCCTGCTAGGCCACAGAGGAGGACTTTGCAGCCAGTCCTGAAGAGACCTGATAAACCAGTATCAGATGAAAGGGGAGGAGGACCTCCTCTATCAGTGGACTTGGAAAGGGGCAGGGAGGAGATGAGGGAGGGAGGGTGGGATTGGGAGGGAAAGAAGGAGCGGGATACAGAGTTAACAAAATGTAACTAATGTTAAAACATATATATATATATATATATATATATATATATATATATGTATATTTTAAAAACAGTGCTTGCCATCAAGCCTGATTGCTGTAGTTCAGTCCTGGAACAGACATGATGACCATGAGAATTAATTCCTGAAAATTGTCCTCTGATGTCCACACACAAAACCATAGTATGTGCACCCTTGCCCTACACTAAATGAATAATTTTAAAATGTATAAAACTTCCAGCCTCTTTCCTGAATGTATACACAGAAATCTTCAGCAAAATAATATCGAGCCAAATCTAGTGATACATAAAAAGGGTTACAATAGTGTAAACAAGAGTGTCCCTGAAAGACAAAGCTAGCTTAAGATCAACTGCTGTGCTATGCTTTGTCATACAATAAAGAAGAAACCACAT